TTTTGAAAATGTTCCGGAAGGTCTGACACTTTTATATATATCTTAAATTAAAGCTAATGTAATATGCTTTGTCATGAAAAAAAAAAATTTCGGACTTTTTCTTATCTTCATGGTGAAAATGGCTACCGAATGCTATTTTTGTGTGAAAATTTTCGATTTTGTATTTTCCATTTTTAACTTTATTATGCTATAACTTTTTGAAAAATGTATGAATCATTACAATTTTTTTATGAGAAGTAGTATTTATATAGATCTTTCATTCGACATACTGTTTTTTTAAATCGGACCATTTCCCTAAATACAGGGGGGATTCAAAACATAAAAATGCATATAGAAAGTAGAACTTTTTCAACGTAACTTTTGAAAGTGTTCCGGAAGGTCTGACACTTTTATATATATCTTAAATTAAAGCTAATGTAATATACTTTATAATGGTAAAAAAAAATTTCGGACTTTATTTTATCTTCATGGTGAAAACAGACATTAAACTTAATAAAAAAAATACGATTTTTGTAAAAAAATTCTTTTTTATATTTTTAACTTTATAATGCTATAACTTCTCGAAAGATGTATGGATCAATATAATTCTTTTTTTTGTAGATGCATGATGTCTTTACCTATCATTTGGTATATTTTTTTTATAAATCTGACTTTTTACCTGCCTACAGGGGGGGATTCAAAATGACAACTTTTTCACAAAAAATTGACTTTTTCAACTTAAATTTTGAAAGTGTTCCGGAAAGTCTGACACTTTTATATATATCTTAAATTAAAGCTAATGTAATATACTTTATCATGGAAAAAAAAAATTTCGGACTTTATTTTATCTTCAAGGTGAAAATGGCTACCAAATGCTATTATTGTGTGAAAATTCTCAATTTTATTTTTTACATTTTTAACATTATAATGCTATAACTTATTGAAAAGTGTATTGATCAATATAATTTTTTTATGGGAAATACTATTTTCTAATAATCTCTTTTTTATTCGACATACTTTGTCTTAATCAGGATATTAATAAGGAACTAGCAGTTTATGAAGCTTTTGGAATAATCCACCAATTTTTTAAAATTAAACACTATCTAAAGATTTGCATCGAAGCGTTTTTTTTTGATAGTGATTTTAATCACTGTCAGATATCATTATACTTGATCCAACTATGCCACGTCACCACTGTGCCGCGACCCCCCTGTGCTGGGTTTTTAACTTTATTATGCTATAACTTTTTGAAAAATGTATGAATCATTACCACCCTGTTCTGAGTTTTTTTTACTTAAAACTGCCATAATAAATAAAATCGAGAATTTTCACACGAAAATAGCATTTGGTAGCCATTTTCACCGTGAAGACAAAATAAAAACAGAAATTTTTTTTTTCCATAATAAAGTATATTACATTACCTTTAATTTAAGATATATATAAAAGTGTCAGACTTTCCGGAACACTTTCAATAGTTAAGTTGAAAAAGTTCTACTTTCTATATGAATTTTTAGAATTTGAATACCCCCCGTATATAAGGAAATAGTCTGATTTAAAAAAAAAGTATGTCGAATGAAAGTATATAAATACTACTTCTCATGAAAAAATTGTATTGATCCATACATTTTTTAAAAAGTTATAGCATTTTAAAGTTAAAAATGTAAATTATAAAATCGAGAATTTCCACACAAAAAATAGCATTTGGTAGCCATTTTCACCACGAAAACAAGCGCAGAGGTCAAATTTTTTTTTCTTAATAAAGTACATTACATGAGCTTTAATTTAAGATATAAATAAAAATGTCAGACCTTCCGGAACATTTTCAAAAGTTAAATTGAAAAAGTTAATTTTTTGTGAAAAATTTGTCATTTTAAATCCCCCCTGTGGGCTGGTATATGGTTAAATTTATGAAAAAGATATACCAAATGATAGGTAAAGACATCAAGCATCTATGAAAAAAAAAATTATATTGATTTGTTCATTTTTGAAAAAGTTATGGCACATTTTAGTAAAAAAAATTGAAAAAATGTCGAAAATTAGCGATTTTTAAATTTGTAATTTTTTTGGAGGTTTCCCCATATACGGGGAACGAGGGAAATTTTTTCAATTTTTGAGGGTAATGTCTTCGACTCGATACGATTTGTAATCTTTTGACGTATCGTTGAAAGAAATCCGTTCGGTGAGAGCTGAGAAAAAGTGGTAACAGACATACAAAAAAAAAAAACACTTCATAGTAAAACCAATACCTTCTCAGTTTCGCATCGAAGCTAATATAATATTATAGTTATGGTTGATTATATAATGTATTAATTATATAACTTATTAATTTATGAATATTAAGTATAAAGTATATATTATTGGATAGTTTAATATTTTATTAAAATGTTTGTATTAATTTTACAAAATTCTGCTTAATTTTTGCAAGTAGAAAATTATACACGGTGCGTAGCTGAAACGCTATTAGTTTTACTCTGCCGTGTTTTTTTTCTTTAATTTTTAGGGAAACTAGCGTCTTCAAATTCGCTCTAATTGCTTTAGTTGTTGGGTATCAAAAACAAGATTTATAAAATTAGCATTATTAAACTTAGAAATTTATAAAACGTATCTACCTTACCAAATAGTGAAATATTTTTATTTAATAAAAATTTGTAGTTATAGTTTAATATTGTATTTTGTATATTTAATTTAAAAAACGCGTTAGAATATATATTTTAACATAGTGTTAACTTACACATTACATTCTTATAAAGTAAGTACTTACCACCGATGAAATATCAATTTTTAAAACGCCATCTAGTAAACAATGTTGTATAATTTAAAATAAACACAAATGTTAAAATATTGCAAGAATGTGTATTTTGTTGACATGAAAGTATTATTACATATATAAGATAAAAGTTGAATATGAATATACAATAAAATATGATATATACCATACATATAATTAAAAGTATTGTATTGAATAATTGACACCAAACGCCCAAACAAGATTTCAATGATTTTACAAACTTATTTTTTCTATTTTCATATCGTAGAAAAAATTTATAATGGTTAATTAATAATATATAGAAATTTAAACCTGGAATATATCTTTTGATAAACGTTTTTAAAATAGGTTTCTGAAATAGGTTGTTTTGATCACTCTAATTTATATGCACAAAGATTAGAGTTTACATGCCAGATGACTTTTAGGACTTGTCAATTGGCTCCACTGCTGATATTTATTTACCACTGAATTAGCAGATCAATAAATTTGAGCTTTCTCAGATAAATTCTACACAATGTAGTTGCTTCTTAATTTTATATATTATGATAAATATTGTTTTTGTAAATTGTCAAATTTTAACTTTAAAGTTTATTAAATTTTAGGTATTTGTTAATAAAATATTTATCATCATGGTTACTAAATCAGTTTCGTGTAAGTCTTAAACGTATTAATAACTTATCGTATTAGGTAAATCTAAAATGATCTTTGGGTTTTCAACTTCTTATAAGGAAACATATAGTTTTTAGTAAAACTACATGTTTTGTTATTTGATTGTGAAAATTAATCGTAGATCATTATAAAAATGATCGTATATTTTATGTATATATTTTACGTCATATGTTGAGTTATTGCCTGAAAATTACGAAATGTAAAATTTTTAAAATGTAATTTTATACTTTTAACATCTTTTAGTGCTATTTATTAATAGTTATGCTTCTTAAATAAATTTAAATTTTAAATAAAGATATCATATAGGCTTTAGCACTAATTCAAAAAAATATTTTCCTAAACAATCTCTTTTACGAACCATTCAAATTCAATCTATGACCCGCTATTTTTAATAAAAGAAAGTTCATCAAAGTGAGTTAGTAGACCCTAAACACAGTGAATAAAATGGCCCTGCTTCGATTGACTGGCATATTTATAAGAGAAAAATCTGGAGAAAAGTAAACAAAAATTGATATTTGACAGTAATTAAATTAATTATTATAAAAAAAGCTTTCAAACAATTGTACATAAAAAAAGTCCCAAAAAAATATTTTTTGGGGGAGTAAAGTGATTTGTATCCCTTTAGTTAAATTTGTTAAAAAATCTTCAAAAATATTTGTTTTCTACAATATATACAGAGTGATTTTTTTATCATAACCCACTCAATTACTTGCAGAATAATAATAATTTAAACATTTTTTTTTTCATTATCTTTAGTTACACATTATTCTTGAATTTTTAACTATGTAATACTTTTTAAGTTCATCCCTTATGCCTTGGAGGGGGGTCAACTTTGTTTTTTTATATGGTAACACATATTTTTAATTTAATAAAATGTTTGAGTTTTTAATTTAATAGTAAATGGCATTTGAATTTTTAATATAACTTTATTAGCTTATTAGATATAAACATTTAAAGTTTCAAAATTTTGAGTTAATATACATGTATAATACACATGGGATTGTAAATACAGGTAGCTAATTGGATTTTTATGACATTGCTGTCTCAGTCACGGATTGTTTATTATCAATTATGATTATCAATAGATATACTTTCTGTATTGTCAGTTAGTGTATTTATAAACTCATAACAATGTGCCTTACTACAATTGATAATAACAATGCTGTGTACCTGCTAATATCGATGTTATAAAAAACCAATTAGCTACCTGTATTTGTAATCCCTTGTGTATTATACCTGTATATTAATTCAAAAATTTGAAACTTTAAATGATTATATCTAATAAACGAATAAAGTTATATTAAAAATTCAAATGCCATTTACTATTAAATTAAAAACTCAAACATTTTATTAAATTAAAAATATGTGTTACCATTTAAAAAAACAAAGTTGACCCCCTTCCAAGGCATAAGGGATGAACTTAAAAAGTATTACATAGTTAAAAATTCAGGAATAATGTGTAGCTAAAGATAACTAAAAAAAAAAAATGCTTAAATTATTATTACTTTGTAAATAATTGAGTGGGTTATGATAAAAAAATCACTGTATATTTAAATTATATTATTTGTACACAAAATTAGTGTTTTATTTTTAAACTTTGACGTTTGTTTATGTAAAGAAGACAACTCCAAAGTATGTTTCTTTTATATGTCATATTATTATACTTGATCCAACTATGCCGCGACCCCCCTGTGCTGGGTTTTAAATTCTTCCTGTACTTAGGTTTTTCATTTTATAAATTAAGTAACACCAAAAAAAATCAAACATTTTCTGCACCAAACAATATGAAATTCAATATAAAATTTGTTGTAGTATGAAACCATTTGAGTCTAGGATTCTTGTATATACGTAAAAAAGTGCTTTATGTTAACATTGCTTATCTAAGACATTGTGCAACATTAAATAGATCTCAATAAGTGGTTGGATTTCAGATCCTGTAGACTTAAATTTCTTATTACACCTATGATAAATCTTTAAAATACTTAACTGTCCCATGTTTAACCACCACCTCATGTTGGTCCAATTGATTGTATATCGCACTAAAAAGAATAAAACAATGAGAGAGGGTTGTTATTATATATGGAAGTCTGGGGTTTTAATGTGTGTAGAACGATCCTGCATTCATTAATAATAAATAATAAAAATTAATATAATAATAATAAAATAATTAAATTGAACAGTTTAGTAACAATATCCCTACCTTACCTCATTTAATTCTTGTTTGTTACATAAAGTTTAACCAGTAAACTATGCAAATAACAATTCGCACTTACCATTGCTCCTATAGTTATTATTAAATTGATCTTGTATTAACATATTAGTTCAGAGATAACAAAAGTTTGTTGGATATCGCGTTTATTTTAGCTTCGATACGAAACTGAGAAGGTATTAATTTTATATGATGTGTTTTTTTTTTATTATTCTTTTTATTTTGTCTTCACGGTGAAAATGGCTACCAAATGTTATTTTTGTATGAAAATTCTTGATCTTATATTTTACATTTTTAACTTTATAATGCTATAACTTATTGAAAAGTGTATGGATTAATACAATTTTTTTATGAGAAATATTATTTATATCCCTCTTTCATTCGACATACTTTTTTTTTAAATAAAACCATTTTCCTTTATATATTTATATATATATTCATATATTACAATTATAAATCATAAAACTTGTAATGAGGATATAAATAAGGAAATAAAACATGTAGCTTTTGGAATAATCTACCAATTTTTTTTAAATTAAACACTATCTACAGATTTTGTATCAAATCGTTTTTTATGATAGTGATTTTAATCACTGTCAAATGTCATTATACTTGACCCAACTATGCCACGACCCCACAGTGCTGGGTTTTTTACTAGTTGGATTTATGTGTATATTATATTTTAATCATCTTTAAGTAATAGTCATAATTTATTATTTATTACTCTATTTGAACAATGTACGTCGTTCAAAATATACGCACATATAAGATTCTCTCCTGTTGTATATCCGTCTACTATGATTTGTTACCTTTTTTTTTATACTTTTTAAATATTTTTTATATTATACTAGATTTTTACTAATATTTTTATAAAAATTCCCAATAGTTAATATCGATATTCATAAAACTTACTCTGAATTTGTCAAAATAAAATTAAAATAATATGTCTATCTATATTAAAATGTAATCAACAAATTCGTGTTTCTCAGCGTAAATTCTTGGGTGATGCGGACACATTTTACCTCGTTAATATATGTTACATATTATTATAATGCACCTCTTAATATCCTTTACGTCAACTGCTTATACGTTATCAAAAAAATAGGACCTAACCTAATAATTATAATTTTTTGGATGCTTCATTTTGTTGTGGGGATTTTTTAAATTATGGCATTGATAGCCTTATTAGATACATTTTGTGATTTTCTGAAATATCGTAAAACAAAATAAATCTTGTTTGAACGGAGTATTTATATGGATAGACAAAAAAAACGTTATATTAAAAACAATATCTTTTTAGCTATGCAACAAATAAAAAAAATGATTAATATTAAAATGTATTTTTGTTACTTTTTTATTTTAGTTATAGCCAAGATAAGAAACCTACAAGATTATCAATTAAGACTAAGTTATAATATGATGCCATGTCCATCTGGAATAGACATTGCAAATTGTTTAAAATATTTTTCACAAGTACTTTTAAGTAAGTACAATGATCATAACGGTTTTTTTTCGTTGAAATGACAAGTTATTGCTTACATTGAAAACAAGGATTAGCCAAAAAAATTTTAGGTTTAAATATTTTACATGATTTTATAACAATTATTTTAATAAATTAATTTTTTGCTCAAAATCCTTCTCAAATACTACTTTTAGTAAAAAATTTGGTCAACGTATGAATTTCGATGAAAGCTGGATGCCTCGGCCCCTTTGGCTATGCCACTGATTTAAAGTATAATATTGCTTTAAATTTTACATAAATGCTAATATTATAAATATTTAAATAATCATATGATAGGAGTGATAGGCAACGATAAAATTTTACATGACGATATCATTTGCATATTATCAATACGATATTGATTTTATTACGATATTATAATTTTAAAGTACATATTTTTTAAATATTTAAGTAGGCAAAAATAGCATGGAAATAATATTAATATTTCTTAATATTCAGTGAGTGTTACACACATATAAAGTCATAGTTAGTAGTAGTAAAAATACTACTACTTCAAGTGCGATTAGTTTTTATTATACGGAATTTAGATTAAAAAAAAGTTTTTTATTAAATTTAAACTGATTGATTTATCTTAAAACTCACATTTAGCATTTTTTAAAAAATAACAATGTTAAAGTGATGTAGAACTTAAAAATTCATTAAAAAAATATTCACCAAAAAGATCAGTTTCTCGATATCGATTCTATTCATATTTTTGGGCCTGTACTATAGTGTTTACTTTTTTTTTATCATCGTTTTGTAATTTTATGGGTGTTTTATTGTATTTCTTAATACTATTCTATATTTATTAGATTTTTTTAAAGAATATTTTTGGTAAAGGACTTTTCTTGACAAATTTCACTAATACATGAACAAAGCAAATATGTTATTTATGTTTGAACTTCTAAGAATTTTTTATTAGGCATTCTAGAAATTTTCTCTTATAAAAAATGAGATTTTTCACTTTATTAGTTAGTGTATCTACAAGGAAAATAATGAAAGCAAAATTGCTACAAATTTAATACAGTCTTTATATAACTTCTTGTAGTTATAATAAGTAATTTATTCCTAAACTTTTTTAGCTATTTTGAAAGAGGTGCCGAAATCACCACATGAAATGATATTATTTCCAGAGATGGACTCCACTCGTTTAGCTCTATATCCTACTTTAGATTACATAGGTCTGTATTCAGCCCTCGAGTCTTTGTTACATTCAGCTTCTTCAATAAATACTGGACTTCAAGGTAAAATAAAATAATATCATTAGTAATTTTTAATATGTTATAAAACATTTTCATTATTTTGTTTAATTAGCTTTTGGCGAAGCATTCAACCAATGTGTGGCGTGTTTAGTTCCATTTCTTGGTGGCGACACTTTGGAAAGTTTACCTTACATGATAGCCACTGCTTTTCAAGTGCTTCCATCATCTGTGCATCATGAATTAATCAATACTCTCTGTTATTTTGTAATACCGTTCACAATACGTAATTTTTTAATTATAACCTTTGACTATAAATTTAATTAAAATAATTACTAAATTATGCTTAGTTATATTTTAAAAAAAATTTCAGCTCGAAATAAGTGTGTGAATACTGCAGCATTTTCAGTGTCAGGAATTCTTTTATTAGTTTTTCAAAATACGTTTGATACTGGTAAGTATGATGTACGTTATTGTATAAATTTAATCTCACTATTTTGAATAACTTTTAATTGTTTCCACACTGAGGTTTAAAGACTCTTCTAAGTCTAAGATTATAGTTTTAAGGGGTCGGTTGATAATGTGTAAGAGTCGGGCTCTTACACAGTGGTCCAAAATAATTCATATTATCTAAATTATGTTATAAATTGTCAAATAAATTGAATATATATTTTTGAAGTCACTTAATTTAATTTGATATGTATTTTTTAATTTAAATCCTTTTTGGTGTTTTTTCAAGCAAATTTTTAATAGTTATATGGAATCTATTTTATTTGTTAGTTATTTAAGAAAAAAAATGTTTATTTCAAATTAACCCCCTTTTTATAAAAATAAATATATGTATATATATATTACATGATTTTATATTTTAGCATTGCATTTGGAACTAGTAGAACGATTAATGACGTTCAAAAATAATGTAAAACGTGATATTCTAATAGTTATAGCTTACGGAACGTCTGTAGCAAGATACCATGCTGCTAGACTTTTATTTAATTATTGGCCTTTATACAATGCAAATAAATTTGACAGAAATAAACCTAAATCAATAGGTAAACTAAATAATAAATAGTTTGATTATTTAATGTAATGTATTAATTAATTTAATATTAGGTAACTGGCTACCACTTTTATGCCAAAAAAAAAATTGTCCTAAAATGGGTTTTGGTCCTGCCGAACGAGTTTGTTTAAACCATAAACTTTCAATGAAACATGCTGAAAATTGCCCCCCACCATTTTATTTATGCACTGATTGCGCTGATGATTTATTAAACAGAAAATCTAGCTATCAATTTCATATAGTTTTACAACCATTACTTTCAGCATCTTGGAAATGTGAAAATAAAGTAAATATGAATATTATTATCTAATTTTAGTAGTAAAATTGCTTTATTAGTAGTTTTTTAATAGGATTGTAAATCACAAAATAATATGATATGCGTCACGTGTTTCTCTCCTGAATGTGCATCTATGAACGAAAACCGTCCAATTAGATTATGTTCAGATTGTTATAAACAAATTCACCCAGAGAATGTAGATCACATTGTACATTGGACGTTAAAATCAGCTGGTGAACTTGATAATGATATGCAAACATACCTTGTGGAATCTATTGTTAGGTAAGTATAAAGTTTTTGAAAAAATATTTTCTAAAAACTTTATACTTTATTATTAAATAAGATCATTAATTATTCAGTTTACTAAAAGAAGTTCGAGCTCCAACTTCTGAAGCAACTAAAGAAAGCCAAACAAAAGCAGCAGTTTTTGGTGCTAAGGTTAAAGGTACAATGCCTTCTAGTAAAACAGATAAAGATGATGAAATACCAGAAGTTACTATAAATGATAGACAACTGATGGGTAGAACAGGAGTTTGGCTTTTAGTTGCTTTGTATCGAATTGAAAACCTTGAACCACCTAGACCCAGTATTATGGGAAGACTATTATCTATACTTTTTCATTGGTTTCATGTAACAGCTTATTCATATGATGGTAAGTTTGATTTAATTTGATAAAAATTGTAACATAAAAATTGTGGACATTTGGCTCATAACTAATAATCTATTAAACGAAGCATCCAACAAAAAATATAATATATAATTAATTTTCTTTAACATTATATTTTGATTAATGTTATATGTAAAGACNGGACATTTGGCTCATAACTAATAATCTCTTAAACGAAGCATCCAACAAAAAATATAATATATAATTAATTTTCTTTAACATTATATTTTGATTAATGTTATATGTAAAGACATATTTGTATGTATTATGAAATTTCAATTATCTATTAGTACAAGGTAACTCATTTAACCAGTGGTGGTTCGTGGGTGCTGGTGGTAGGGGTGTGATTTTAATAATAATACCGCTAGTCATAGGTATAAAAAAATTGTCAAATTAAATATAATAAAATAAAACACAATACACATATTATTAATAATAGTAGTAGTCGTAGTAGAAAAAAGAAATGAAAATAATAATAATAGCGATTATATTATTATAGCAACCGATAACAACGAGCGTACACATAGTTAATTCTAAAAATAAATTGCCATACATAATTTTATACTAATATTTTACCGTATAGACGACGCTGCTGATCGTTCAAACACTGCTCGTGTGTGCATACATACCCGCATATACTTAGGGAAACAACTTGAATGTTCGCACAGGACAAATGTATAATAACTATTTTACTATTTAAAATCCCATTATAAGGGAGTCGTGGCACAGTGATAACGTGCATAGTTGGGTCAAGTATAATGATATCTGACAGTGATTAAAATCACTATCATAAGAAAAGCTTCGATGCAAATCTGTAGATAGTGTTTAATTTTAAAAAATGTATGGATTATTCCAAAAGCTACATGATCTTTTATTTCTTTATTTATATCCTGGTTAAGATAAAGTATGTCGAATAAAAGAGGGTTATAAATATTATTTCTCATAAAAAAATTGAATTAATCCGTACATTTTTCAATAAGTTAAGCATTATAAAGTTAAAAATGTAAAAAATAAAATCCAGAATTTTCACACAAAAATACCATTTGATAACTATTTTCACCGTGAAGACAAAATAAAGTGCCAACGTTTTTTTTTTCCATAATCAAGTATATTACATTATCTTTAATTTAAGATATATATAAAAGTGTCAGAGTTTCCGGAACACTTTCAAAAGTTAAGTTGAAAAAATTAATTTTTTGTGGAAAAATTGTCATCTTGAATTTTTCTTTGTGAGCATGTAAAGGGTCAGATTTATAAAAAAATATACCAAATGAAAAGTAAAGACATCATGCATCTATAAAAAGAAAATTATATTGATTTGGTTAGTTTTAAAAAAGTTATGGCAGTTTTAAGTAAAAAAAATTGAAAACATTTCGAAAATTTGAGAATTTTAAATTTGTAATTTTTTCGGAGATTTTCTCCATTTACGGTGAACGAGGGAACTTTTTTTCAATTTTTGAAGGTAATGTCTTCGAATACATACAATTTCTGATTTTTTGACGTATCGTTAAAAGAAATTGGTTCGGTGAGAGCTGAGAAAAAGTGGTTACATACACAAATAAACCACATAATAATAATTTTAATAAGAATGAAAATTTTCTACTATATAAAAGACGAGGGATAGATTTTAACTATCTTTATCAAAATGCACTCGTATTTGTTTTGAATCCATTTTTATTATTAAAAATGAATTCAGATTTATATAAAAATGCGACTTTAAGCTCTATAATCAAATAACTTGAAAATATATTGTTCTTGGCTAAGCCAATGATGGACAGGACGGGTATTATGACCGGCTTGCACCAGATATCAACAATGAGAAAATTATAAGAACAATCTTGTTTGCACTCTGGGGATCGAACCCGGACTTCGTGCGCCAAAACACACGTTTCTAATCATTAGGCCAGGCCGACCCCTTAGTGTGATATCTTATTGCATATTTATCCAAAATAAAAATAAACAATACCTTAGATTTTCTTCTTATTTTTTATTAAAAAATAAGGTATCAAACTAAAATGTAAATATTTCAGTGTAAAATAGAATTTAAAAAAAAATTACTGACTTTTTTTGTATGGGAATTTTATAATAATTCTCTTGGTAAGACTTATTTTTACTTTGAATATTATTAAATTTGCTACAACAAAAAAGAAATTTTATTTATAAGATATTTAAAAAGAGACAATAAGATCATTTTTTGTACGCCCCATTAACCCACGTCTATATATTATAGACGTGATGATTCAGTACAGAAATACTATGTGTATAAAATAAAATAATCCCAAATATAATTTTCATTACGTAATTATTATTTAGAGAAATTGAGTCGCTGTATTTTCCTGTTAAATGAATACATTTTGTCGTTTAAATGGCGACCGTGTAACTAGATTTGTTGAACATTTTTTTGAAATATTCATTTTTATAATGTTGATTTTTTAATGAGTTTTGAAATAAATAATCTTTGATCAAGAACTTTCAAGATCTAATTTTAAGAAAAGTGGAGTTATTTTGTTTTTTTATAGCTGATATTTAAGAAGCTTAATAAAAGTTTACCAATATTTTCCTAGATCAACAAGAATGTACTTTAGAGTACATGAAAACAGAATACATTGGGGAACGTTGGTTAAAAAGTGTACGAAAGTATTATTTTGATGCTTTTGTCAATTGTTTATTACCTTGCCCACCTGAATATGCACAAGTTGGTGGTAATTGGTAAAACTTTAAAAGCTTAATTTTCTATAATTTTTTATAAAAATTATTAAAATTTACTATAGGGATTTATTAACAAGTCAAACTTCCTTGATAAAAAATGGACTCAACCAACTACTTTGTCTTGTACCCTATGATATAGTTACGTCAGAAATATGGGAATTAATCATGCCTCATTGGTTGGAAGCAATTGTTCAAGATGTTCCGCATGATGAGTTGACAGAGTTGCGAATGCTTTTATGGTAAAATTGTTTAAAAACATTTTTGTTTTCTATGACTGCTGCTCAGTTATATAAATATTTTTTTTCTTTTTTTTTGCCTTCACAACTCTACAAAATTTTAGTCACAAGTAACAATTTATCTCTATGCATTTCTTTTAATATCCGTTGACATATTTGAAAGTCTTTATCATACCTGTCATATAATTCTTGTATACTTAACTTATAAAATGACACATAGTTTATTCAAAAAGGAATCTTTATATGTTTATGCGTTTTAGCACAAATAGTAATTGAAACAAATACGCTTTTTTTTATTCACACAATATTTTCCTGGAGTATCATTTACTACCATCAGAGTAAATTTTTTTTTTTTGGAGATTTCTATATATTTTAGATGATAAAATTATAAAAAATTTTTCTCTTTTTAGTTTTTTACAAAAAAAAAAAAAATAATAATAGTTATTTAATTTTGTATTAAATCAGTCTTTGAGGATTTTTTACCAAGATATTCTTCTCTTACTCTTAGTTTTTTTTCTTTAAAATCAAATTTTAACAATAATATATAATATTTTTTAATATGTAGCCCAGATATTCTTTTATCTAAGATAAAGAATATAGCATAAAGAATAAACCCTGAAAATTTAATAAAAAAATAAAAAACAATTACTTCTGGATGATTTGGCATGGACCTTATGTTATGTTTATTTTCAGAAAAATAGTTTTGTAAAACATAGTAACTGTCTTCATTGCAATATTATAATATAATTTTTTTTAATATAATGATTGTATAAACATTTTCAGCAAAATATTGGACTCTGAGATGAATCCTTTGGGATTTGATGCTACAAAATTATATCATTTTATAGGTATACGTTTTAAAGGCACAAAAGCAAAAGTCCAAGAACAAGCTTTAACTTGGATTCAAGTATTTATTAAATGTATATTTAGTTTTACAATCAATATTGATGGATAATATTTTAGGTATTGACAAGTTTAGAAATTATTATACCAATACACCTTCTATTTAATTTTTTTAAAGATGGATTACAAAGTTTGAAAACTATTTATAAAAATGATAAAACTGATGGAGAAAATATTTATATTAGCGATTTAAGTGAGTATAAAAAGAAAAATAGTGATGTGAGCATATAAATTTGACATCAGTGCAAAATACATAAAAATAGAATCATTACATTTGAAATTTAAAAAAAATCATTGTCATTCAAGTCAAAAAGCATTGTTAAATTTAAAGGCCTTAATGAAGCCTACTTCTCTATTCATGCCTCTGAATATATATATATATATTTATTTATTTATTTATAAATTCGTTCAAACTATGATTATTTTAGATCCTGTAATTATAAAAAGAACAGAGAGTGTAACAGACGACGAAGAAAAACAATATCCCAGTAGCCGCCCTGAACTATTTGAAGATGAAATAAAGCTTAGTTGTTGTGCATTAATGTTAGACATTACTTTAAAACAGGTATAACAATAATAAATTTCAACATTTTTAATATAAAATAACAAATATCTGTAAGCTTAGAAGTAGAGTTAAGAACCGAAATAATTTAGCTTCTGAATAATTTTTCTAATACTTAGTAATTTAATTCATCTATACCGATTTTTTTAAACACATATGAATAATACAATTACAAAAACCCAAAATATAATGAAACCGCATTAATTTGACTTTAAAAGAGTTTAAAAATCTAAATTAACCAAAAAAAAGTTGTACAATGTGAAACACAGCGCTGTTCAGACGAATATAAATGAAATCTGATGGTGATTAAAATGATTCTTATAAGAAACGCTTCGTGTAAATCTATAGATAGTGATTAATTTTAAGAATATGGTGGATTATTCCCAAAGCAATATCAACTCCTTTTCCTTTAAGTATATCCTGATTATTACTTTTAGAATTATGAGTATAATAAATGGATAAATATTTATTGTTATATTTAAATTTAGTATGAAAATGATATTCAATGATTTTATATTGTACTTTTAGGGGATAAATTATAATACATTATAAAGTAATTGTTTATTTCGTTACATATATGGCAAACGTGTATCAAAAATGAAGAGCTTGATCCAACAACTAGATAACAATTTTTTAAACAATAATTTTTTGTCAATTTTGATTAAATACAATGGTCTATTAAGAATTTTAATCCGAGACTAATAATACTTTTCTAAACCAATTTTTCGCGCTGATTTAAAATCTGCAATTAAATTTTGTCTATTATCTCTAATTTTTTAGATACTTACTAATTAGAAAAAAAACGAGTATTTACACATAGGAAAGTATACAGGTGGCCCACCACTCACTGACAACTTAAATAACTTTTGATCCAGTTAATATTTTTAGTTGATTTTTTTTTTAAATAATAGTTATACGTTAGGTCTATAGCTATATCTCAATAATTAATTTTTTTACATTTTATTAAAAATATTAATTATTTTTAAATTTTAAATAAAATGTAAAAAAAAAATCTAAGATAGCTATTTTGTAGAGTAGAATTTAAGAAAAATTTTAGTAAAAAAATATCTTATTAATATTCAGTAGTAAATATTCTGTAGCGTTTTGAAGTTTGTGAAAATTTGAATTTTCATGTATTATTTTACGGTATTAAACATTGAAATACGTATTGAGAAAAGGACAGAAGAAAACGCTATCTTTTCAATATACTTTTGAATGAGAGTGATAAGTAATAATTGCCTTATCTAATTTCTTATCATGGTATTAATGCCAAGTTTGTAATGTATACACATTATCATCATATGTATACACAGTAATCATGAAAAGATAGCGTTTTCTTCTGTCCTTTTCTCAATACGTATTTCAATGTTTATAACCGTAAAATAGTACATGAAATTTCAAATTTTCACAAACTTCAAAACGCTACAGAATATTTACTATTGAATATTTTTAAGATATTTTTTTACTAAAATTTTTCTTAAATTCTACTCTACAAAATAGCTATCTTATTTTTTTACATTTTATTTAAAATTTAAAAATAATTAATATTTTTAATAAAATGTAAAAAAATTAATTATTGAGATATAGCTATAGACCTAACGTATAACTATTATTTAAAAAAAAAATCAACTAAAAATATTAACTGGATCAAAAGTTATTTAAGTTATCAGTGAGTGGTGGGCCACTCTGTATTTTGATCTATGATGATTAAAAAATGTTAAATTGTATATATCATTCATATGATTTTTGTGCATGATTCATTATAAAAACGAATTGTACACCACTATTATCTCTAAATATATTTAATTAAAAAAAAAAAACCATATTTTAAATAAAATATTTTTTAAAAATTGTGAATTTTTTTACTTTGAAGAAAAATTGTTCATAGTGGATTAGGTTTTTCATTGAATTATCATAGAGTATACCTAAACAATATTTTTCTAGTATTTTGTACCTTACTAAGATTTCATTAGATTCGATGTTTTCAAAAGGAAATTTATAGCTATTTTAAAATAAAGACAAAGATTTTTAAAAATGCTGTTTTTACAGTAGCTTAAATTTAAGATATTTGTCTAAATTTCACTAGATTAAAATAGGTCTAGTGAAATTTGAGAATAAATGATAACAGATCCATAATAAATAAACATGTTATAGTAAAATTAATACCTTTTTTTCAGATATGCAACGAAGCAAAAAAATATATCATTTAATTATAAAAGAATGTATATATCGGTTACATTCGGTTATTAAACTTTATAAGGTTAAATTTAAAGTTTGATTGAGGGTTTAAAAACAATATCATAATATTTTCAGTTTCTTTAATTATTTGTCTTACAAATTCTTGAAAACTAAAATTTGATATAAGTCAGTTAAGTTACTAGATATGATACAAATATTTCACAGTAGTTCAATAGCAAATCAAATAAAAATCGTGACAACCAAAAGTTTTTTTGCACAGAATATTTTAAAATTATATTATATAACATCTCCACATGTTTTTAAAATCGCCGACATGGAAAAATTTAATCATTTTGCATTGCACGAAGAATATTTATTAGCTTCGATGTGAAGCTGAGAAGGTATTTATTTTACCATGATGTGTTTTTTTGTGTCTGTCATTCTTCGTGCAATGCAAAATGATTAAATTTTTCTACTATCGTATCATATGAAAGTTGTAAATTATAATATAGTTAAAAGACTATAGATAAATCTCGTTTAGTATGTGGGGTGTATTTCATAAGTTCTATAAATTACATGAACTTATCAATGGTATTGTGTAAACATTATATCATCGTTTTAAGATACTATTGGTTCAATTGAATCAATAATAAATCATTAAAGGTTTACGTGAAATAAATGTAGACCGTTCAACTTTAAAGAAAAATGTAAATATTGGGTAAAAATCAATTATTTTAAAAAAGTGCCATGTCTGAGATTTTAAAAAAATGTGGAGATGTTATATAATATAATTTTAAAATATTCTGTGCAAAAAAACTTTTGGTTGTCACGATTTTTAAATTTGTTATCGGACCATGATTTGAAAAACCCAAATTATTTTCTATTCTAACCCTGCATAAAAAGCATTCTATTAAAAGTCAAATTAAAAAAATTCAACTTTTAGTAGTTTATCTCCAAGGTACAGATGTATTAAACAATTTTTAATTTTATAAAAATAGTTGGAACTACACGGCATTGAAAAACATGCAGGATTTTCAAGTCCAATAAACCACGAAGTTTGCAAACTTATAACTAATGCTCTGGTAACTGGGTGGTTTACGGAATTGCATAAGGAGTGCAATAAAATGGATTGTTCGTCATGCGAGTTAAATATATTGTGGCATCAACTAGCCAATTCTCTTATTGAATACATTTCATTATCCAGTTTAGCGCACCCTCCTGATGTAAGAAAAATGTAATAAAAATTTTATTAGTTAATGCTAAACAGTAATTTAATATTTTATAGGATCCAGTTTTAGAAGAAGTTTTTTGCGACGATTCAAAAAAAACTCCAACTGAAGTTGATAAAAAAGAATCCAAATGTGAAAGTACAAATCTATCGTTTATGTTAACTCCTGACACTATTGGTGGCTTATTAGTAAACATGCCACAAGTAAAAATTATATAATTATTACAATTAATCCTAATTTTTTGCAATTTTTATATTTTTTATGCACTTTATTTTTTTCTTTATCATAATTTAACGTTGTACTTATAACTTAATTACGTTGCCTAANTTATTAATATTTAGTAGTAAATATTCTGTAGCGTTTTAAAGTTTGTGAAAATTTGAATTTTCATGTATTATTTTACGGTACTAAACATTGAAATACGTATAGGGAAAAGGACAGAAGAAAACGCTATCTTTTCATGATTACTATAATTTGGAGATGTGTAACTTTTTCCATGAAAATGACTTATACTTTTGAATGAGAGTGATAAGTAATAATTGCCTTATCTAATTTCTTATCATGGTATTAATGCCAAGTTTGTAATGTATACACATTATCATCATATGTATACACAGTAATCATGAAAAGATAGCGTTTTCTTCTGTCCTTTTCTCAATACGTATTTCAATGTTTAATACCGTAAAATAATACATGAAAATTCAAATTTTCACAAACTTCAAAACGCTACAGAATATTTACTACTGAATATTATTAAGATATTTTTTTACTAAAATTTTTCTTAAATTCTACTCTACAAAATAGCTATCTTATTTTTTTACATTTTATTTAAAATTTAAAAATAATTAATATTTTTAATAAAATGTAAAAAAATTAATTATTGAGATATAGCTATAGACCTAACGTATAACTATTATTTAAAAAAAAAATCAACTAAAAATATTAACTGGATCAAAAGTTATTTAAGTTATCAGTGAGTGGTGGGCCACTCTGTATTTTGATCTATGATGATTAAAAAATGTTAAATTGTATATATCATTCATATGATTTTTGTGCATGATTCATTATAAAAACGAATTGTACACCACTATTATCTCTAAATATATTTAATTAAAAAAAAAAAACCATATTTTAAATAAAATATTTTTTAAAAATTGTGAATTTTTTTACTTTGAAGAAAAATTGTTCATAGTGGATTAGGTTTTTCATTGAATTATCATAGAGTATACCTAAACAATATTTTTCTAGTATTTTGTACCTTACTAAGATTTCATTAGATTCGATGTTTTCAAAAGGAAATTTATAGCTATTTTAAAATAAAGACAAAGATTTTTAAAAATGCTGTTTTTACAGTAGCTTAAATTTAAGATATTTGTCTAAATTTCACTAGATTAAAATAGGTCTAGTGAAATTTGAGAATAAATGATAACAGATCCATAATAAATAAACATGTTATAGTAAAATTAATACCTTTTTTTCAGATATGCAACGAAGCAAAAAAATATATCATTTAATTATAAAAGAATGTATATATCGGTTACATTCGGTTATTAAACTTTATAAGGTTAAATTTAAAGTTTGATTGAGGGTTTAAAAACAATATCATAATATTTTCAGTTTCTTTAATTATTTGTCTTACAAATTCTTGAAAACTAAAATTTGATATAAGTCAGTTAAGTTACTAGATATGATACAAATATTTCACAGTAGTTCAATAGCAAATCAAATAAAAATCGTGACAACCAAAAGTTTTTTTGCACAGAATATTTTAAAATTATATTATATAACATCTCCACATGTTTTTAAAATCGCCGACATGGAAAAATTTAATCATTTTGCATTGCACGAAGAATATTTATTAGCTTCGATGTGAAGCTGAGAAGGTATTTATTTTACCATGATGTGTTTTTTTGTGTCTGTCATTCTTCGTGCAATGCAAAATGATTAAATTTTTCTACTATCGTATCATATGAAAGTTGTAAATTATAATATAGTTAAAAGACTATAGATAAATCTCGTTTAGTATGTGGGGTGTATTTCATAAGTTCTATAAATTACATGAACTTATCAATGGTATTGTGTAAACATTATATCATCGTTTTAAGATACTATTGGTTCAATTGAATCAATAATGAATCATTAAAGGTTTACGTGAAATAAATGTAGACCGTTCAACTTTAAAGCAAAATGTAAATATTGGGTAAAAATCAATTATTTTTAAAAAGTGCCATGTCTGAGATTTTAAAAAAATGTGGAGATGTTATATAATATAATTTTAAAATATTCTGTGCAAAAAAACTTTTGGTTGTCACGATTTTTAAATTTGTTATCGGACCATGATTTGAAAAACCCAAATTATTTTCTATTCTAACCCTGCATAAAAAGCATTCTATTAAAAGTCAAATTAAAAAAATTCAACTTTTAGTAGTTTATCTCCAAGGTACAGATGTATTAAACAATTTTTAATTTTATAAAAATAGTTGGAACTACACGGCATTGAAAAACATGCAGGATTTTCAAGTCCAATAAACCACGAAGTTTGCAAACTTATAACTAATGCTCTGGTAACTGGGTGGTTTACGGAATTGCATAAGGAGTGCAATAAAATGGATTGTTCGTCATGCGAGTTAAATATATTGTGGCATCAACTAGCCAATTCTCTTATTGAATACATTTCATTATCCAGTTTAGCGCACCCTCCTGATGTAAGAAAAATGTAATAAAAATTTTATTAGTTAATGCTAAACAGTAATTTAATATTTTATAGGATCNTTATAATGCTATAACTTATTGAAAAGTGTATTGATCAATATAATTTTTTTATGGGAAATACTATTTTCTAATAATCTCTTTTTTATTCGACATACTTTGTCTTAATCAGGATATTAATAAGGAACTAGCAGTTTATGAAGCTTTTGGAATAATCCACCAATTTTTTAAAATTAAACACTATCTAAAGATTTGCATCGAAGCGTTTTTTTTTGATAGTGATTTTAATCACTGTCAGATATCATTATACTTGATCCAACTATGCCACGTAACCACTGTGCCGCGACCCCCCTGTGCTGGGTTTTTTTTTTAATTTTAGTAGTTATTTAAATAAGATCATGGTACAATACTCTCCCTTATAACATATAATATCAAACAAATATTACTCAAATATTTTTTTATTTTGTGATAGTTTTAGGAAAAATTAATTTGTATGCTCTACTTAAATAAAATTTGTTAAAGTTATAATTAATAAATGATGAAATTTATAAGGTTTTATGATAATGTGTAATTTTTTATTAAATAGTATAAGTTTAAGTAGTCATAAAAAAATTGATTACAAATAATAAAACAAAAAACTTACTAAACAAACAATAATGTATTTTTTAGTTAATGACAGCTACTGTTGAGACAGTTGTTGAACAATTAGACCTGACACCAGTGATGCCAGCTATTGCTAGAGCAATCACATTAACTGATTCAGATGTTGGTTAGAGTTATATTAATTAATTAATAATAAAAATATTTAAAGAATTTCACTGATTTAATTTTAAATATTATTTCATAATTTAGGACTAGCGACAGCAAGAATGGCGCAAGCAAAACTTATGAATGAAAATGATGAGCCAGTTGATGAGTTAACTCAAAATGTACACGATTTTTGGCAAACTGCACATGGACGATTTAAGATAAAAGTTGATGAATTACCTGATCAACTTCAATTAGTTTATCATATATTGAAAGTAAATTTTTGAAAGATGTATGTATTTGTTAGTAGCTTTACTTCATGAAGCAGACAGAAAAAAATAAGTGCAGTGACGTATTTTCTAAGTTTCTACGATTTTTGAAAAATTTATTATGTAAAGTTATGAATTATACACAGGAAAAACTATTGAATTATTAGACTAGTTAAATAGTTTTCCAACCCGAAAAAATTAGTTAATATAGTGACATATGAATTATTTCTCGTATAGTGGGAAGAATTAAATGCATATGGTTTAATTTATACAGTTTACTAACCACAAAAAACCTAGTACAGTTGCATGTGGTATAGTGGGGATCCAGCATAGGATAACTGGTCCAATTATTGATCAACCCCCAATCAATGAATGTCATTTAATAAGCAATCAAAATTTCTTTAAACCCAAGTATACTTCAAAGGCTGAAGCTCCCCTGACGACACAGGGTGGTAACGATAATGTAGCTACTTTCGATAATTGATGCGATTTTTCGTTTAATGTTTTGGTGAAATCTATTTCTTTTCTTTTGTTTATTAACTTTTAGCTTTGATGCCTAGTTGAAAAATTATTAATTTTACCATAATGTGTATAATATTGACATTTTTATTTAAAGCTATCATAACTTTTAAAAAATGAATGATTCAAATAATATTTTTTTAAATACTTCAGATATTTCCTTTTTATTAAGTATATTTTGTTTGAAAATGTGACACTTAACTTGTCCTCAGAAGAAGAATCCAAAGTAGCTACTATTGCATTAGTAGTTAGCATTTCCAACTTAACTCTTGGAAATACTCCAAGCTTCAAACATATTTTAAATTAAAGCTTATGTTACATACTTTAAGTTAAAATAACTAGTTATTGTCATGGGACATCCGTAAGGAATAAATTTCCTTCTGCTAAAATAGTAGTACCGCATTTTTGTTAAAAAAATACTAACTAATGTAAATGTAATCGAAATGTCACACAATTAATATTTTTTTGCTATCTATTTGAAATTGGCTAATCTATTTTTTAGCATAGTATTTTGAAAAGTTAACGTTAAATAAAAAGAAAAAAAATAGTGATTCAAATAATTAAATAAAAAAATTATTTAACAATTTATTATAATTAATAATATAATAGTAAAAAGAAAATGAGTAAACAAAATATTTACAATATTCGTATGTGAAATATGAAATAATGACTCATACACATTGCTTGTATATAAATAAGTTATACAATTATTATATTTATATAATTATACATTTATACAATGCAAATATATATATACAACATAATATATGTGTAGAATGCATATAGGCGCAGCGGAGTGGGATCGAAAAAAGAAGCGATGAGACAGATACAAAGAGGGTGATTAAGAAATGTATTATATATTATTTGCTTGTATATAGAAATGGATATAACAACATCATAGATTTTTTTTTATACATTTTTGTTAAAAAAATTCAATCCTCAACTTATTTTTCGAGTTAAAAATCGCCGCAAAACCTATATCACATCCCATGTTGGGATTTGATATAGGCTTTATGTAAGAAACTTCGTTCCAAAAAAACAATTTGTTTCGACACTATATCTTCTATATGAACAATCACTACCGAAATTAAACAAAAAATGTTAATTTGTTTAATGTTTATTTAATTTTTTATTTCAATTCGTTTTTAATTATATGTGAGAAAGTTCACGACTATAATGATTTTTAGGTTACTTCATATTGCCATGACAGCTTGATACATATACACGTCAAATTTATATAAATACTTATTCTTATAAACAAATAATTAATAACAATCCCTCTCAAAAAATTATATGATATGTTATTAAAAAATATTGTTTGGAAAGGAGAAAATTAAAAATAACTAAACAATTTTTTTTAACTCCTTTTATAATACAAATATATTAAAAAAATGTTACAGTGAAATTTTCAGCTTAATTTTTTAATAAATGAGTTCTATAATCAAGTTTAAAAGACCAGGAAAACAAGTTTAACTTGTAGCTGTCTCAAATTTTGCAAAACTCTTTTATAATACAATTAAAACAAATTTAAAGAGTTTTAAGTAAAATAAATGTTTTAGACATTTTTCATGAATTTTTAAATGTGTAATTATCGTTCAATTACTAATAAGTAATCATCTCAGAATTCAGATGCCATGGAACAAATCTGAATCCACATTTAGAATTTATATAAACATTGAAAACCGTATAATTTTTTTTTAGTTTTCCTGTGTTTTTTATCAATAAAATTCTAGAAATATTTAATGTATGTTACTAATCCAAGAGAAATATTTGACTTAATATTTATCTTTATATAACCCGATTCGCCATTTTTCACCACAATGGATCAATTTTTCCTTGCATATTTCTTTTGTTTGAAAACCCCAAGCAGCTAAAGGTGCATTTTTTCGTGTGCATATATATTCCACTAAATAATCATCAATTTGTTCAGTAGTTCTTGCACCTGCAGCTAGTAAAACTCTTAGTTCGTTAAATTAAAAAGCAATTGACGATCTTATTATATCTAAAATCATGATATATTTTTCATTTGTACATCAATTTATACTTACAAGAAAACAAACACCTTTTTATAGGCATATTTATCTATTTATAAATAGATAAACAGGACAAAATTGAAATTTAAAAAACCCAGCACAGTGGTGCCGTGGTATAGTTGGATCAAGTATAATGATATCTGACAGTGATTAAAATCACTCTCAAAAATAAACGCTTCGATGCAAATCTTAAGATAGTGTTTATTTTAAAAAATTGGTGGATTATTCCAAAAGCTACATGATCTGCTAGTTCCTTAGTAATATCTTGATTAAGATAAAGTATGTCGAATTAAAAAATTTTATTTCTCATAAAAAAATTGTGTTGATCCATACACTTTTCAATGTTAGAATATTATAAAGTAAAAAATGTAAATTATAAAATCGAGAATTTTCACACAAAAATAGCATTCGATAGCCATTTTCACCATGAAGACAAGTCCAGAGGTCAATTTTTTTTTTTTTAATTTAAAGTATATTACATAAGCTTTAATTTAAGATATATATAAAAGTGCCAGACCTTCCGGAACATTTTCAAAAATTAAGTTGAAAAAGTTAATTTTGTGTGAAAAAGTTGTCTTTTTAAATCCCCCCCTGTGGGCAGATAAAGGGTCAAATTTACAAAAAAAATATATCAAATGATAGGTAAAGACATCAAGCATTTATAAAAAGAAAAAAGAAAAAGTTATGGCACATTTTAGTAAAAAAAATTTCGAAAATTAGCGATTTTTAAATTTGTAATTTTTTTGGAGGTTTCCCCCTTTTACGGGGAACGGGGGAATTTTTTTCAATTTTTAAGGGTAATGTCTTCGACTAGATACGATTTGTGATCTTTTGACGTATCGTTGAAAGAAATCCGTTCGGTGAGAGCTAAGAAAAAGTGGTAATAGACACAAAAAAAAAAACCCAGCACAGGGGGGTCGCGGCACAGTGGTGACGTGGCATAGTTGGATCAAGTATAATGATATCTGACAGTGATTAAAATCACTATCAAAAATAAACGCTTCGATGCAAATCTTTAGATAGTGTTTAATTTTAAAAAAATTGGTGTTTTATTCCAAAAGCTACTTGATCTGCTGGTTCCTTATTAATATCTCGATTAAGATAAAGTATGTCGAATGAAAAAGGGTTTATTAAAAAATATTATTTCTCATAAAAAAATT